ACCCAAGGTAGTTCACATTGAAAAGTTAGCGCCATACCGTGGTCCAGATCCTCCCCATTGGCTCCAGCCAGGTACCAGTAACCAAGTTTTTGGGGGGAATAACTAGAGAGGAGGGAGCAATGTTACGCAGCACCCTGTATTGTGCTGCGGTCATCATAAGTAAAGGTACGAGTAAATGAAGAAGAGAATATTCCCGAAAAGTCTCGAAATGTCATTCCTTGTCAAAGAAAAGTCTAGATTGTTCGAGAAGTTTCCAGAAGGGAAGGCAAGCTATATAAGGCGACGACCTGACGTCAGAGGCAGTTTTATAATAGACGTTAAACGTTAATGTTATTAGTTGAAGTCATTGTATCAGTTGTATAATTGTTGTTAAAGTTTAGTTAAAATAAATTGTGATACCAAAAACCAGCGTAACAATATATAAAATTCGCCCCTTCTTCTTTAAATTTAGAATATTTTCTTAGAAAGTTAATTCTCTTGTGCACGACAGAACTTCATTTACAAAGGGCCTTTCTGATATCCTCCTTTTGAAATTTGAACCCCAAGTTATGTTGCCATAAACTTGTTCTGCCAATGTCGTCAAATTTTCTATCTATTAATTCCGAGAGAATTGTATTTAAGGTCACATGTTCCTTGTTGACCCTCATTCGATAAATGGTATCACGAATTTCAAATTTCTTTCCATCTGGAATATCTTTCGTTTTCAATTATGGGCGAGTTTTGCGGTGATCTTCTTTCGACAGTTCACTATTATGATTTTGTAATACTTCTCTTAATTTGGTTTCACTAATTTCTAGAGCATCGCATACCTGTAAGTTGTTCTACAGACATTACCGATTTTAAAGGACCGCCATTTTCTTTTTCATCCGTAAAATACTTACGTGCACTAAAAATTAGACTATCTACATCTAACACACGTCTAGACATTTTTAAAACTTCCACTAAATTTACAATATACATACAATGTCAACACTTGCAAAGAATCAATTCAACTGCAATATTTGTAACAAATTTAGTACCTACCCTAATGTTATTTTAATTTAAATCTGACCATTAGGGCAATTTTACCTAATTTCTTGAGAAGAGGCTTATTGGAACTGGTTGTCAATGACTAATTTGCATAATTTTGTTAATCCGAAACCCGCGTAAGTATAGCGAACAGACTGTACGCATAGCTTCAATGAATTAGTATCCAGAGTGAATATTTATTTTATATTCTTATATCTTTACACTGCCACTGTCAAAACCTTTGGTAATTATGAGGCAGTTTGGTTCACTTCTAGCTCTAGGACCTCGGACTATTAGTGATTAGTTAGAGCGTGATATGTGGTTAGAGCTGTTACAATTGCAGAAAATTCGCGAATACAGCATATATTTGGTATACATATTATTACGGATTTATCTGATTATAACAGGACGCCTTATGATTTGTCGCACAATATTTCTTAAAAGTTCTTTTGGTATATTATTCGTCAAGTCAAGGGTAGGAGGTCGGATGAGATTAATTTTTCAAAAAAAAAGCTCGCCTATAATATTTTTTCCTATGACCACTTAGGAAAGTGACACATATCGCACTATTAAGTCTTACTGAATGTGCCATATATTTCACGCGTGTGGATAAGAATCTACTTTCCACCCGTGCGTGAATATCTACTTTCCGCACGTCTATCAAATATGTAATATACGTAATTTCTATTTTGATCTACGTAAGTCAATATTAATAGTAAAATAGATTTGATGAATATGATTATGATTTTTATGCCTATATTCTAGAATATTGTTACGCAGCACCCTGCAGTGTGCTGCGGACGTTGTAAGTAAAGGTACGAAAATACGAGTAAATGAAGAAGATAGAATATTTCAGAAACGTCTCAAAATGTCATTCCTTGTCAAAGAAAAATCCGGATTGTTCGAGAAGGTTCTAGAAGGTTGAGGCGAGCTATATAAGTCGATGACCTGACGCCAAAGAGGAGTTTTATGATAGACGTTATATGGTAATGTTCAGTTATACAGTTCTTGTAAGAGTTGAGTAGAAATAAATTGTGATACCAAAAACCTGCGTAATATTGGTGACAGCGCTGGAATATAAAATAAACGTTACTCAAGCACTCTATTCATGGTAAATACTAGATCCACTGCGCACGAAACGGATATACTTTAGGCCCACCAGCATGGTTTTCTAAGATGGAAGAGAAAAAGGAAAGGCGTAGGAAGGAAGAAGAGGAGGTAAAGGAAAGGCGTAGGAAAGAAAAGAAAAGGCGAGAAGAAGAAAAGGAAGAGAGGCATAGAAAAGCGGAGGTGGAGATTATAAATGGCTTGCTGCAAATTCAAGAAAACCTTAAGCAATAGGTAGGCCAACAGTCGAATAGATCTCTTAGCACAACAACAAGAGAACTTAGAAACTAATTTAAAATAGAAATGGCTAGAATAGAGTTAGAAAGACAAAATAGAACTGAACTAGTTGAATTAGAAAAAAAAATTCGTAGCCTTACTTTGGCAAGCAACAGAGAAACTGCATACACTACCTCGTCCTCAGTTATATCCGAAATAAGCTATATCCAAAACCCAGTTTCCCAAAGCCATACTAGCAGTACCATTAAGCCACCCACGATTAACGGTCAGACAACATGGGAAACGTATCGACTTCAATTTGAAGCTACAGCTAGAGCCAATGGCTGGACCGAGAAAGAGATGGCGGCTTCATTGATAGTGTCGCTGCGAGGACAGGCAGCAACTGTTTTACAGTTACTTTCCCAAGAAGAACCCAGTTATTCATATCTAGTCCAAGCTTTGGAGACAAGATGTGGCCAGCAGCATATGCAACGGGTATTCCAAAGCCAGCTAAAGGTTCGTAGTAAGAAACATAATGAGTCTACAGGAATTCGAGGCCGACATAAGAAATTTGATTCATCTGGCTTATCCACAGGCGCCGAAAGATTTCCAAGAACAGATCGGAATACAGGCATAAATTAATGGGCTACAAGATGTGGAAATGCAGCAAGCCCTTCGTCTACAACAGCACAAGACGCTGAGGAAGAAACTGATTACAGCCCAGGAAAGTGAGGAGGCCAATACTAATGCTATTCCCCAACCTACCATCTCGCAAATCTTAAATATCCTGCAAAATATGCAACGAAGCAGCCAAAATGGAAGCAGGAGATGTTTTATTTGTGGAAGAATCGGGCACCTTCAAAGAACCTGTAGAAGCAGAGCTCGTTCTATAGATCGAAAATCAGGTAATGAGGCCGGAAAGTCACATAGATCAATCTTCGGAAGCCCGTCACGAAGTCCAACAAGAAATCATCACAGCAGCTATGTGGTTGATAAAGTTATACTTCAAGCAACCACTATCAAACCAGAGGGCGACGAAGAAGAAATCACCCTTAAAAGCCTGAGAAAGGGACAGAAGAAAGACAATGATTTGAAGGTTGTTAGAGAATGGCTCAAAAATAAAGTTACATCTACTTGACAAGAGATAGCCAAATACAGTGGAGCTATTAAAGGGTACTGGACTCAGTGGGATTCCCTGTATCTTCACGATGGCCTATTGCATCGGAAGTGGGAATGCCCTGATGGAGTACATGTAGTCCGCCAAGTGGTACTACCAAAATCACATGTCAGAAGTGTGTTGAAGGAGCTTTATTGTAGCCGCTCGGAAGGACATTTTAGTACTAAAAGAACACTGGCACGAGTTCGGGAAAGATTTTGTTGGGTCAATTGCCAACGGGATGTAGCAGCGATAAAGCAGAAGCCAGAATCGACAGGCTTTCACAGGGACACATTTTGAGACCCAGTACGGTTGTGCAATCCCAAGCACCGAGAAGGATTTTGTCAGAAATCTCAGTGTAACTGGGAAAGCAAAATCAACGACTTGATCTACCGCATTCAGCAGTCAGCGGGAAGCAAATTTAAGGTAGTTCACATTGGAAAGTTAACGCCATGGCGTAGTCCAGATCCTTCTCGTTAGCTCTTACCAGTAATCAAGTTATTCGGGGCGAATAACTAGAGAGGAGGGAGCAAAGTTGCGCAGCACCCTACAGCGTGTTGCGGTCGTTATAAGTAAAGGTACGAGTAAATGAAGAAGATACAATAGTCCAGAAATGTCTCGAAATGTCCATTGCTTGTCATTCTAGAAGGTTGAGGCAAGCTATGTAAGTCGACGACCTGACATCAGAGAGAAGTTTTATGATAGACGTTATATGTTAATGTTATTAGTTATATTGTTATTGTAAAAATTAAGTTGAAATAAATTGTGATACCAAAAACCTGCGTAGCAATATTATTTTTAATAAATTATTGAAATAGTTTTAAAGTAAAATTCTTTTTAACTATTTTTTTGTTAATATATTTGATTAGATGATTTATTCACAGAGCGTTCAACCTTATCAACTTTACATGTTTCGACCACATCGCGACAAAGAAAAATTGAAAAATTACGACTATTTTATTTATTTATTTTAAGTAGGTGATGTAATCTTTACGCTATTTATTTTATACTATTCAGAAAAATCTTTAACAATAAAAAAGTTCTTGTTTACGGTTGTTCTTCTTATTATATAGTGTGTTTAAAAAAATGAATTAATGAAAAACATTATCACATTCTAATATTTTTTATACCTAATGTTTTTTTGTTGTTATTATCCTATGAACGTGCCTGTAAATGAAATCACGTTTTTAATTTCGATGAAACACAATAGGTAAAACACTTTAAAAATTATTCAATTAGGCATATAAAAAAATTAGGCATATAAAAAACATCTAAAACCAGTCACATTTTGATTGATTCTTTATAGCCAGATTTTCTGGTTTTTACATTTTTTTGATAAAATTATTTTGTGGTCGTAGGAAAAATATTGTACATCACTTGTGTGAAAGTGTTAATATACTATATCGTATCTGGCATTTCTTTATTAAGAAACAATTTTGTGTACACCTTTATCTAATAAATAATGTTTACCATTTTCTTTCTAATGATAATAATTACTATGAAATGTTTTTAGCTCTTCATTTGGTTTGTGGCAAAACTAATGGAGAATTATGGGTTCTCGATCCAATTTTGTTAGAACCAAAGCAACCTGAACCATTTCAAATTACTAAAAACAAAATAGTGAAGATCCGCTTTTCAGTTTGGCCCATACAATTTGCTTATTTCGTAAGTAAATTAAAAGAGGATTATCTAATAAATGTAACTTAACAATTAAATAGAAAAAACAAAGTAGTACCTACCAAAGCTACAAATTTCCAATGCACTTAAATACATCATACATTTTTTTAAACTATTTTATAATATTTAACGATCAGAAATGATAATTATTACTCTCTAAAAGCATAATAGCATTCACTGCAATTGTAATATTATTTTTTCACTACTCAATTCAATTTTTTTAGTAAGCCTGGCATATGGTTAAATCACAAGTACAGCCTAAATTTAGAAGCCAATATTAAGAAGGTGCTTTAAAACTAGATTTCTGTTGTTAAAATCTTGAGCGAAATGCGCAAAAACATTCATCGGTTTCTGCTCTAAATATCACGCAAATTTTTAAATAAACGTTTGGATTTTCGTGAGGATACTGAAAAAACATGATAACTCCACTTTTGACATTTTTGAGAAGTGCACTTTTGTCTCCAAAATAGTTCAAATAATATAGGCATAAACAAGATAAGTGGAACGAAGTCATTGTACATGATAAACAGATGGCCAATAAAAACTAACTCCATATTAATATATTCTCAATATGCACAAACAAAATGAGTGGCATTTATACCGATACATAATTAATATTGTGTTGAATTTAGTATATCTACCACGAAGCTTCGGCCCAAATATCCATCAACAATGTGGTCACCTTAAGATGGATCAAAGGTCACGCCACAACGAAAGGTAACCGTCTTACTGATTCACTAGCCAAGAAAGCAACCAAACAAATAATTTTTGGACCTGGCCCTTCTATTGGCCTGACAAAATCGGTAGTGACAGACCTAATCAAAGAACATTCTCTTGTGAAATTCAAGGAAATATGGTATGAAACAAGAAACTGCAGAGTTGCCAGGGAGCTCTTAAGTTATCCTGACAACACTGCAGCAAACAAATACTTGACTAGAACAAGAAGCTCAAACTATCGAGCATATCCTTTACGATTGCTCGGCGCTCTCATTTATTAGAAGATTTGGGTTTGGCGAATATCGGCTAACACCGGCCGATATTCTACTACTTCTTCTTCTTCTTCTGCCTCTTTTTACAAATGTTACAACATAACCCGTTCTATACCCTATTTCTAAAACATTTCAGCGAAACATATAACTAAAATCCTTCAAAAACTTGTGCATGAAATGTTATATGTTTGAACCGTTTGAAATATTTCTGAAATGTGTGCTATATGGGGAAGTACGCGTTTTTAAAAAATTAGATTCTTTATCACAATGTCGATAATATTGAGTTCTAAAACGAGGAAATGTAAACCTTCTTAAGGTAGCAGGACCAACTGGGCAGAATCTATTCAGATCTATTACATTATTTTGTACTAATTTGTACCACTAACAATTTAAAAAAAATGCGGCACTGCTTTAATATTAAGCTAGCAGGACCACTTTGTTAAATTTTAAAAAAATAAATAAAAAAACCAAGTGTGAGTCGGACTCGCGCATTAAGGATTCCGCACCATTATACTTTTTAAATACTTTTTCCTACGGCCACTTAGGAAAGTGACACATATCACACTATATAGTCCTATGGAAAGGGCCCTATATCACACGTGTATAAATAAGAATTTACTTTCTATCCGTGTAAATATGCTACTTTCCGCAGCAGCTGTCACAAAATGTCAAACGCATCATTTCTATTTTGATCTATGTAATGTCCATATTAATACTAAAATGGATATGATTGTTAAATTATTGAAATTGTTGTAAATTAGATCCTAGATATTTATCTTTAACAATTATTATTAAAATAATTTTAAAATAACTAAGATATATGTTTGCTTTTTATTCTGGTTAAACACATAACCGATTAGATCATTCAATTGACGTAAGGCGCGTTCAAATCCTGGAAGGGCCAGAATTTTTTTTGTTTAGAAAATATGAAAATTGTATAAATACGATTATTATTGAATATTTTTTAAATAAATTTTAATTATTATAATAACCTGTTTTTACATTTTTTGATTAAATTATTTTGTGGTCGTAGGAAAAATATTGTACATTACTTGTGTGAAAAGTGATTTTCCACACTCGTGTGATAGTCGCACTCGGCTTGTGCCTCGTGCTACAATATTTCCCACTCGTGTGAAAAATATCACTTTCCACACTCATAATGTATTATACTATATCAGAGACAATCCAGCGAGACGTGTAACTCAATGTATTTTTTTTTGTTCGGTAAAAGTTATTTGGGCGATTGTAACCACAACCAGTCTATGATGGCGCCACTAGTAAATAGCGGGAAAACTAAAAATGCTTTAGGGCGGGAAATTCAAACCTGGATTCAGAAATAAAGTTTTTCTATACAAATTTACAGGAGAAACAAAAACTATTGTTTCACTGTATATTAAAAAAATATAAGAGCTTCCAATAACATCAAGTTTTAATCAGTTTAATATAAACAGTGAACAAAGTTTTTATTACTCTTGTAAATTTCGCTAAAAAAAAAAACTTGAAAATTCTATTGATTATTAAATATTTAAACTTGGAAAAATAATACACCAAACTCTTTTTCTATAAATTATATTTTTGTAAGGTACAGAAAAACAAACTACAATTGCTTCGTTTAGAAAGTACCTACTATCATTTTGTGACAAATTACAAAGAAAGTAACAGTTGTTATATATTCATAATATATTTAAAAACTAATGTAACAAATATTTTATAAAGTATAGTACCGATACCTTTTTGCCTGACTATCATAGGTGCCATTTGAACAAATGTCACTTATGTTAGTCTGGCAAAAAGGTATGGATATGTTATGACTGTTTATTTTATTAGAAACCATGGAAACGAAACACACATACACTCAACACAAATGTATAAGGCCGGAGTCAAGTAAGTTCCCATCCTGTAAACTGGATCGAAACCTGCTAGACCCCTGCTAACTCCTCTTATAGTAATCAAGATCAATATATTTATATGCCATGCCTTCTAAAAGGGAATGAAGGATGACATACTATTATCATTTAAACAGGACGTTGCTGAAGGCTTACCCCTGTTATTTCGTTTGTTTGTGTATCTTGTGTGTGTGCATTCCTGTTGTGTCCCCAGTCATGTAAAAGTTTTCCTAGTCTCCTAATTTGGTTACTAGGTGGACCTTCTCCAACTAGTAGTCTAATCTATTCGATCTGTTCGGAAGCAGGAGGTACTTTTCAAACATAGCAAATAATATTAATAATAAACACTATTTAAAGATAAATACATTTTTGTAATTTTTTTGTCATTCTTACACCACCAGGGTATACCTATTTTCCATATTCCCTTAATTATAGATTACCTTACAATGTTCGAATGAATATAACATTTTACTCAAGAAAAATCTAATTTCATATTTAACTCTTTTTCAATTTCATTTGAAAAAAATATTTGGTACCTATATTACAATTTATTATCAAAGAAAATTTCTAATAAAGTTATAGCAAATCCTACTTAGACTACTGGTTGTTCTGCAGGATAAATTAACTTTTCTTGAGATTGATCTCTCTATAAAATCCAAAACCGACCTGATGTCCCCAAATTTATTTTCCAATGCATCCTGATTTAAAATTCTGCCCTATTGTGATTCAATTTTTTTTTTCTTTCTTTAGAGTGGCTGTTAGAGGTAGGTGTATGTAAGAAATAGCTAATCTCTAATCATTTCAAAAGTCCTTTGCCAATACTACATGTGCAGATTTTTTACTCAGCATACATTTTACTTTTCTAGTAGATAGGAACTTTGTGCTGCTATTAAAGCTGTCCAGACATTCATCTACCTACTTAATGAACACAAGTAGCTGTAACAATGGATCTCTGTTCCAATTCACCTAAAATAATTATAGTCATTGTGTAATATATTATTAAACACACACATTATACAGTGGTTTTCTTAATAAATTGGAAATTACTTACCTCTAGAAAGAAATGTGTACAAAAACGCGAGTTTGGTTCCAGAAATTGCTTCATGCAAAAAATAATATGCAAAAAAAACATTCCCCCCCAAAGAAAATTAATTAAATAACAAAATCAGACTAAAAGAAATATACGGGGCCCAAATTAAATTAATTTTAATAAAATGCACATGTTCATAACAATATTCATAACATTGTCAGTTGTCAGTTTTAATACTTTTAATCGATATTTCTACGTCAAAAAACCAGCAACACCAGCGCCCTCTGAAAATGGTGTTAGTTTTATTGGAGAGAGATAGACATATGTAAAGATCAATGTAAAAGAAAAAGAGGGTCATATATGTAATTTAAATGGACCACCGAACATATTTTCCTATTAAGTTACACGTCTCTGTTGTCTCTGACTATATTAACCCAGCGCCCGACAGGTGGGATAGCATTACGAGGGGTGTGACATACCTCATTAAAAAAAATCTTGAATATGGTCGTACATTATTTATTGTAAATTTTCATATAATTATTTTTAATTTTATCTACAAAATAAAGAGGTTCTATGGAAAATGCAAAAATTATAAAAAAATAACATATTTTTTTTGATACAAACAACTTGTTGCAAAAAATAAAAAAGGAAAGTATTGATTGTTTTTGATTATTGAACAGTGTTCACAAAACTTTATGGCATTCTCAAGGCATATGAACTTTTCACAACCCCTACAAACATATTTTGATTTTTTGTATGAGGCACGGGGACAAATCGAGCATCTTCCTTGCTGGTCTGGTTTCTTTTTTTTGCAGGTGGTTCTGGATTTCCTCCCAAAAGGTTTTAGATGGTGCCCCTTAACTCTCGCGAGATTCTGGGATTTTCCATCCGAATTCTTTGGTGTTCCTCCACTAATTGAATTCTCAACTCCTTGAAAAAATGTCTTCTCTGCATTTTTACTCCGTTATTATTCTCTCTATGTATATTCTGGCTGTTGATTCCAGCAGAGTTACGTAAAGAGAAAAATACTGTTAGAGGCCATCTCTGTCGGGTCGATGGTGTAGCGGTCTAACGCGCTTATAT